TTTCCGATTTTCTTTGTTTTGCTATTAAAAACAGTGAAGAAACAAACATTCTTGTACATGTCTATCTATATACATGTGCAAAAGGATGGCCCAGGGTGCATATTTAGAAGTGGAATTGTGTTATAGCATATAGTGAGTACTTAAACTCCTCTAGCTATTTTCAAGTTGCTCTCTAGAATGGTGGTATCAATTTATAGGTTACCAACAGAATATGAAAGTTCCTTGGTTGGGCTTTATTATGTTTAACGTGCTACTGAGTTAGTGTGGCAAAATTTTATTTAGAATTTTTTACATTTATGTTCATTGAACAGATTGGTCTGTAATTTTGTTTTCTTGAACAATCCATGCTCATTTTCATATCAGAATTATTCTAGCCATGAACATCGAAATGCGTATATTTTCTGTTTTTTTGAACCCATGAAACAATGGGTATGAGAGAGGAATTATCTGTCCCTTATAAGTGTGGTCAAACTGACCTTTATAATCCTTTGGCTTGGTGTCTTTAGGAACAGGGTTACCGATTCAATTTCTGTAATAGTGATTGGTTTATTCATGTTTGCTGAATGATTTTGACTATGTTTTGGTAAATTTTACATTTAAAGGAATTATTTTTATTATTATTTTTAAGAGGTCAAGTCTTGAGACTTCCCTGGTGATGCAGTGGTTGGGAATCTGCCTGCCAATGCAGGGGACACGGGTTCGAGCCCTGGTCTGGGAGGATACCACATGCCGCAGAGCAACTAAGCCCGTGAGCCATGGCTGCTGAGCCCACGTGCCACAACTACTGAAGCCCGTGCACCTAGAGCCCGTGCTCTGCAACAGGAGAGGCCACCGCAATGAGAGGCCCGCGCACCGTGGTGAGGAGTGGCCCCTGCTCGCCGCAACTAGAGAAGGCCCGCACACAGCAGAAGACTCAACACAGCCAAAAATAAATTAATTTAAAAGAGCCAAGTCTTTATTTGTTTTTATGTGGCTGCATTGGGTCTTCGTTGCTGTGGGCGGGCTTCTCTTGTTGCGGAGCACGGGCTCTAGGTGTGTGGGCTTCAGTAGTTGCAGCACGCGGGGTCAGTAGTTGCAGTTCATGGGCTCTAGAGCGCAGGCTCTGTAGTTGTGGCGCACGGGCTTAGTTGCTCCGCGGCATGTGGGATCTTCCCGGACCAGGGCTCAAACCCGTGTCCCCTGCATTGGCAGGCAGATTCTTAACCACTGCACCACCAGGGAAGTCCCCATTTAAAGAAATCATTGACTTGCTTTAAATGTTCAGAAAAATATTTACATGGACTTTTGTGTATGCAAGTTTTGCATCTGTAGATGTGAAGGGCTGAATGTTCTATGCCATTTTATCTAAAGGACTTGAGCATCCATGGGTTTTGGTATCCATGGAGGTCCTAGAACCAGTCCCCGACAGGTACTAAGAGATGACTGTATATTCATAATTGCAGTCTTTCTTTTTCATTCCTAGTAGTATTTTTGTGGTCTTCTCTTTCTGTGTCTTCCCCTGGATCAGTTTTGTCAGAGATGTGTTTTCATTAGGGTTTTGAAGAGCTGTTTTGGTCTTACTGATCTTTCCTATTGTTTCCTTGATTTTTCTCTCATCTTTTAAGTTAAGTTTCCTCGAGTTGAATTTTTTAACTTACCTCTTTTTCATCTTTTTGTTTTTCATAGTAAGAGCTTTAGGTGCATCCCGCAAGTTTGCATATGTACTATTTTTATAGTTGTTCAGCAGCAATAAGTATAATTTCCATCATGATTTACTCTTGACCTCATGAATTGCATATTTAGATGTGCTTTTTGAAGTATCCAGTCATGTTAGGCTTGTTTAGCTATATTTTTATTACTTGTTGTTTTTAATCTAAATGCCTTGTTGTCAGAAAATACGTTCTTTACGATAATGATTCTTTCAGAGTCCTTTGTGATTTAGAATTTGGTCTTTTTCTTTAAAGTTTTGGTATATGGTCCAGGTGTCTTTCTGTGAAAGATGCATGTTGACTATTTGTGTAGAGCAGGATTTTTTTGTTTTTTTAAATAATATTCTTTTCTCTTTAAACCCCATATTTGTTTATTTATTTTTAATAATATTCTTTTCTCTTTAAACCCCATATTTGTTTATTTATTTTTGGCTGTGTTGGGTCTTCGTTTCTGTGCAAGGGCTTTCTCTAGTTGTGGCAAGCGGGGGCCACTCTTCATCGCGGTGCACGGGCCTCTCACTATCGTGGCCTCCCTTGTTGCGGAGCGCAGGCTCCAGACGCGCAGGCTCAGTAGTTGTGGCTCATGGGCCTAGTTGCCCTGCGGCATGTGGGATCTTCCCAGACCGGGGCACGAACCCGTGTCCCCTGCATCGGCAGGCGGACTCTCAACCACTGCGCCACCAGGGAAGCCCTAGAGCAGGATTTTATATATTAGCTCTAACTACATTAGGTCAAATGTGGTAATTTATTCAAAGCTTGATCTATGTCTCTTTCTGATAGAGTTCTATAAAAACCTCATACTAGAATTGTTAAGTTTTTACATTTCTCTTTATATTCACTGGATGAAAAAAGTCCAATCTGATAATTTTTGCTTTTAACAGGCAAATTAAATCCATTTACATTTATTATGAGTACTGGTATATTTGGCTTTATTTTGAACATATTTTTTATTTTTGCCATCATTTTCTTTGCTCTTACCTTTTCATCCTCCCTACAGCCTGGAGAATTGATAGTTTCCTATATTCCTCTCATTTCTTTCCTCTCCTTTATGCTTAATCTTAAATTTTAGGAGCTACTAAATAAATGTTGACTTTAAATGCTGACTTTTCTGGAACAATTTAAGTGTGTATTTCTATTTTCTTCCTATTCACAATGAAGTCTTCAGCATACATTGATTACCTATCGAACAGCCCTTCCTGGCCATTATGTGTTTCTTGTAGTTTTAGCTTTTATGTTCTTGCATGTTTCTTTCTTCCTTTAGTGAGGGTCTGTGGGTGGTAGACCTTGCAGAGTTTATCTGAAAATGTCATTTATCACTTAGTCTTAAGTGGTAGTGTAACTTTGTTATTTTGCCTCAGGTCTTTGAAGATCATTACTCCATTGTTTTTTGGGTTTCTACTTTTTTAACTGCTGTTAAATTTCAAGTAATTGGTGCACAGTCTGTCTTTCATTCACACTGTACAGTTTTACTATGATATACCAGCCAATATACCCAGGTTTATTTTGATTAATCGTCATTCTCAGTGATGATCTCTTCAGATACTGCTTCTCTACTATTCTTTGCTTGTTTTTCTGTGACTCTGACTCCTATTACGTAGCTGCTGGAACCATTTATTCTAGCTACCATTCCGCTTGATTACATTTTCATATTTGTGTGGCATTCTGGATGGGTACCCAATACTACCTTCCAATTTGGTAGTTTACTTTCAGCCAGTGTCCAGCCTAATTTCAATGACAACATTTTTGTATTTTTCAAGAGTTCTAAATGTTTCCTTAGCTTGGCCTCAGTTCCCAGTATTAAAGTTATGACTCTTGTCTGCCTTCCTAACAGCTTCTAAGTGGTTTTTCTGGTGGTTCTGAAAGAAATTTATCCTGTGTACTTAAACTTGGCTGGGCCTTTTCGTTTTCATCATTTTGGTCCATCCGTCATTGGCATGAGTTGGAGCAAAGGGGTTTTCCAGATGGGAACTCCGTGATCTGGCAGCTCCCTTGGGTGGCTCTTATCAGCCACTGCCCAGTGTCAGGGCCTGGCCTAACTTGTGATAGTAGGGCGTGGGGTGGAAGTCCCCTTGCAGAATGCTGGGAACACACTGAGCCTACTTGGGGAAGTCTTTGAAATGGTTAATACAAATGCTTTCAGAAAGAGCCATTTCAGCTTGGCCAAAGACAGATCTTTCTGTCAAGGGGTCTCCCTGCACCAGTCAGTCTTACCTTCTCACACTATTAGCACAGAGGTTAAACGGTCAAGAGTCAGCTGGCCAGGGTTCAGACTTGCTTCTGTCTTGAACTACTTGGGGAAAGTTTCTTAACCTCTTTATATTCATTTCTATAGCTATAAAATGGGAATTAAAAAAAAAACACACCTAACACATGCGTATATTGCAAAAGGATTTCCACAGTAAGTTTAGTTAACATTCATCACTTTGCAATACAGTTGACTCTTAAACAACACAGGTTTGAACTGCACGGGTCCACTTACACACAGATTTTTTTCACTACATACATACTATAGTACTACACGATTGAAGCCATGGATGTGGAACTGCAGGTACGGAGGGCCAACGGTAAAGTTATGTGTGGATTTTTCCCTGCGTGGAGGGTTGGCGCCCCTACACCCCAAACTGTTCAAGTGTCAACTATATATGTATGTCAAGTCATTAAACTTATACAGTGCTGTATGTTAATCATATCTCAGTAAAACTGAAAAAAAAATAGAAGAAAACGCTCCAAATACCATCTAACACGAAGGGCTCTGGGAGGTTAAGTAAGATAATACGTTAAAACATGTAGATATGTACCTGGCATATAATTTTAAGCTCTTTGTTTTTATAATTATCATTGACTAGTCGAATTTAATGAGAAAGATAGTGTTACCTTTTTAGATACTAAAATGTGACAGTTGGACGTGCTTGAGATATGCTTACATGGAGACAGTGTTCTAATCTTTTACCCCCAAGTTAAGCGGGGAGCATATCTCCCTAACACGGCCTCAAGTATGATCAGTCTAATGTTTTCCTTTGTCTCTCAAACAAAGACCCTGAATTTTTAAATCAAAAATTTGCATTTTGGCAACAAATTGTCTCATTGTTCTTTATGAATTAGTTTTTTCATCCTGGCTAGATGGTTACAAAGTTGAGGCCAGCAATTTTATCTTCTCTACCTCTTTATCCCTGTACAAGTGGAACACAGGTAGGGGTTCAGTATGTATTTATCCAGTGGATCAATTATATGGGGTAAAGCAGCTCAGAAATCTGAAGGTGGTTGATGAACAGGAACACAATTCTTAGGCCATAAGGGCTCTGGGGCACTTACCCAGGTCTTCATTTCCATTGCCTGGTGCAGGAGGATTGTGGCGAGGGAAACGGTATTGATGGGTGTCCCAAAGGTAAAGACGTCGATATCAGAATCCTTGTAGGTCTGCAGAGGAGGAACAAACAGGCACTGGCAGATGTGCCCATGGACTGAAGGCCTTGGCTTTGACAAGTGATTGTAAAACATCAGTGAAGGCAGGTGTCAAGGGAGGGGCAGGGTGGGGAGAAGGCATCCAGCTGCCATCATGTGGAGCTGACCCAAGGGACAGACAAGAGAAGGAGTGAGTTGACAGGACTAAACTCTTTAAAAAGCATTTGCAAAGGGAGCCATGATGAGTATTCCAGGACACTGCGGAAGGAGTCAAGAAAGAATTTACTGAGTACCTACCAGGCACGATGCCAACTGCTAAAGACACTGCTGTGTCCACTTTCAAGGAGTTTAGAGACCAACTAGGCAGGGCAAATGTGGTACAATTTTAGGGTATAGATGCTATAATGGCAGCAAGTACAAGGAACGCTGGGAGTAGAGAAGAGGAATCAGCTGAGACTGTAATAAGAGGAGTTAGTCTCTTGAAAAGAGAGAGGAAAGGCAAAGGCCACAACTGAGGATGAAAAGTCCAAATCGTCCTAGATGATAGGTCTGTTGAGCACATAGTAAGGGCAAAAGGTGAAGCAGGAAAGGCAAGCAGAGGCCTGACCAGAGAGGGTATTGTAAACCAGGAAATTCAAAGAAAGCACAAAGTGTCCACCTCAACACTCATCGTGTTGCTATTTGCAAACGAACACGAGCCAGAGACTAGACACCACTGGTTTCCTGGGAGCAATTACCCCACACCTGAGTTCCCTGTCTAGGATGAATACAGATATCCTATGCTATATAAATTCTCTATAAATTCTCACTCTTTAAACTGGGGAACCAAACTGAGATGGGGCTGGAATCTCTTACCATCTGCATGCTTGTTTTTATTTCATAGAATGTATTATCAGAACTTCCTGCCTTGACCTTGGAAGGACAAATCTAAATAGAAACCAAGGATTGCAAATTCAAATACCTTCAGTGCTCAAGTAAGAAGCGGTAAATGAGTGAAGAAGGCCAGGCGTGAAACAAAAGGGCATGGTGGGGACTATGGCAAACTGGAGCACACGCCCCGCCCGCCCCCC